GAGCGGGGCGACTAGGGAGATGCACCGTTCTGCCCGGCGTTCTCGCAGTGCCACGGTCTGAGCGCTGGTGGGGTCTGTCAGCACCACGGCGTCCATGCCGCCGGTTGAAGAGCGGTGCCCGGCACAGGGCACGGCGGACACCAGGCACGGAGCGGCGCCCGGCACCTGATGCCAGGCAGGGCGAGCTTGCGCGTTCCCACAGTAAGCCTCAGCGATTTTGAAGAAAAAAGCCTATATAAATGAAAGCCATGCGTGGAAAAGCGTCTGGCGGCGTGACGTCTCGCCACCGCTCTCCAACGTACTATCCTGAAACGATTATGTGATTGGCTGGTTGACTCTGCCGACCCCATGCTGGGTGCGCAGTTACGCCCAGCCCGCCGGTTGCGTCCCACGGTGTTGTGCAGCGACGATAGACGGAGGATCGGCGGCAGGTCGTCCTGGCTGGGCCGACGCGAAAATAAGGTCGGTTGACGCATAACAGCGCCGCCAGTATTCGCAGTGGGTGGATGTCGAGCACGAAACAAAGACTGTTTTCAACGATTTCTACCTCTTGTCGGTTTTTTGTTGTTGTCTCAACCAGCCAATGGACTAAAAACAAGGAATAGCTCGCGTAATACGTCGATGCTTACGTCGGCGATCGATCATTTATGAGCATAGCATACATTGATTCGTTCCCCGTCTTTTTACTTCCAATTTGTCTGAATTTTTCATGCACGCGGGGAAACCCGCTTCCCGCTCTATGCCGCAGTCTGGCGGTTCATGCAATCTGTTACTTGGCGGATAATGTATAGCCCTCGCCAGGCCCGCCCATGTTTTTAACATCTACAAGAACAATGTAAGCGGATCAGCTGTGGGTATAGAGCCGTTGACACATGAACCTTGACAACGCGCGGCACGGCTCCTGAGGTGAGGGTAGCGACATCTGAAAGACGTCTAAAAAAATGATGTCCGGCAGTCTCGCCGGGATCCATGTATGATCCACAATGCCGCGACGCGCAACGTTCAACGCGGTCCAGAGGAGGTCCAGCAGACGCTGAGATGAGCCCACAACTTCGAAACCTGTTGTCTATCGCACCATTTTATCTTCTAAGGACTTACGTAACTTGTTCAGTGCATTTGCGAGGAGCATCATTCACATAAGACGGTAGCAATAGCCTTATTCCTCGAAGAAAACAAACGGGGAGAGCGGAGAAAAAGATGGGTTGATATTTGGGCAACATACCTTCATCAAGGCCATAGCAGAAGTGCCTGGCTGGGCCAACGCGAAAATAAGGTCGATTGACGCATAACAGCGTCGCCAGCATTCGTAGCGGATGGATGTCGAGCACCAAACAAGGGCTGTGTTCAACGATTTCTTCCTCTTGTCGTTTTTTTGTCTTGCAATCTTAACCGGCTAATGGACGTAACATAGGGAACAACTTGCGTAATACGACAATACCTACGTCGGCGGTTGGTCACTTCTGCTCTTGTTTCGATAAAGGCATGTTGCCGAAATATAAATACATCTATATCTTCATTCTTCTGTTTTTTGTCCTCTCTCCGAGAAATAAGGCTATTGCTGCTGTCTCATTTTCGTTATGTGCTTATTTAAATAATATACCATAATACTGCCACATTACTAACAAATTTCGATATTGTGCATACCAATTTCCCTCCACATTTTCCGCAACGATTGATGTGGGCCCATTCATCATTCGCAATAATGCAATATCACGCTACGAAACCTCGATCCTTCATAAAACGGCTACTACACTCCTTGTTTCGCCCAATTCATCGCGGCTTCACCTCATTAGCCGAGTAGGTGAAGTACCGCAACGACTCGAAAGCTGCACCATGTCACCACGTCACGGAAATTATTTTTGCCAAATCCGCCCTGCACACGGCTGGCATAACGGGCTCCCAGACGGGGTCAGCGTCAGCCTACAGCACATATTCGAGATGCAGACGGGTCCACTTTGGGCTCAGACTCCCCTACAGAGTCACGATATCGGCGCCATCACGGCGAACGAAGGCAGCGTTCGCATCACGACAGCCTCGCTCGTGCGTGACGGCGTCTGGCTGAGAACGCCGGCTCGACGACAGGTCCACGGCTTCTGGCAGCACCGCCCCCCAAAGGGCGCGCGACACCACGCGAGGTCCTCGCTGACCTACTGTAACCTAACGTGCCGCAATGTTGCCGGGCCGCCGCGCCATTTTCGCCCGCCACGTCAGGTCGATCAGGGGATCAGCCGACCACACGGGCCACGGTCGCTGGCGCCGAACAAACGGCAGCCGATGCGACCGCTCCACAGTCGGCCACACGCCGGCCAGGAATGCTATTGTAGCCGGGCTGTAGTTGCTGGCCATGCCCGCAACTGTCGGCGATATCCAAACAAACGAAGCTTAAGCCGCTTACCCTCGCGAACAATCCGACGAAACACGGACTTTGGGGGCCTGTTAGTGATGCCGGCTACGGTCCTAAACGCTCGGCAGTCAGGTCTCATTTGGAAATTCCAGATCAACAAGCCCACTACTGGATGGTTGAGAGACGTTTTCAAGGCTGGCGACGAAGATAATTGGTCTTCAGACTAAGAAAATATACTAAAGAAAATACTAAGAACTAAGAAAATATACTACTTTATAAAGACGCTTTAGAGGCTCATAGCGGCCCGTCTTAGAAGCGCACACGTGTTTGTAGTCTTTTGAATTGGTTGTCCCACACATCTGCTCATCTGCTCATGTTGAGCCTGAACCAACCATGACATCTAAGCCGATATCCGAAATGACAACAACTTCTGTAGCCATTAATTTCCTCTTGGGCGTCCTACAACCATCCCTTCGTGGCCTGCAGTCCTCCCAGCCCGGTCGCTGAGCTCCACCACACCCGGCGGCGGCGGCGCTGACCACCTCGGCGGCGGCGGCGGTGGCGGCGGCGGGGCACGCGTCTGCCGCTCCCACGGCGGCCGGCCGCGCACCATTGGCGGCGTGATAAACGCCCTTCCCACCATCCCTCAGCATAATGGCGCGCGCGGGCCGATGAAGATGACAAAAACTCGCACGGCCGGCAGATGGCCGATCGGCAGAGCGGCGACCGCCGGCCGGCCGGCGGGGCCGACACCGGCCCGGAGACGCGGCCACGGCGGCGGCAGCACGGCGACAGGCCTGCCGCGACCGGCGGGGCGTATTGGCGTAGTGACCCCGGCGACACCGACCTCCAACACGGCGGGGCAGGCGAACCAGGAGATCACCGCTGGGGCCGAACTGCGCACATCGCAGCCCGGACATCGCCAATGCCTGCACCTTGCTCTCCCCGGACGAACGGCACCTGCTGGAGCTGCGGTCCAAAGGATTGCAGCGTGTCCCCCCCCCCCCCCCCACCCCCACCCCCGACCACCCGCAAGCCCCGGCGTCTAGAAGCTCGAACCCTGTTCCCATCGGGCAGCTCAGGCCTGGTGCTGGACGATGATCATCTGACGAGCGTCCGCGTCCGCGTCCGCGACACGATCGCCGGCTCTCCACCGACTCGGACTCGGCGGCAACACTGTTCACGGCGTTGTTAATGGCCGCGTGGCGACAGCGGACGGCGTTGAGACTAGCTGGCCGGCGAGCCTGCGGCCGCGCCTGGCGCCTTCCGCCCGACATCGGCGCGGCCGGCTCGTTCGCCGCCGAGTCCGGGCCGCCTCCGAGCGGGGCCGGGCCCTCGGCCGGACCGCAGCCGGCGAGGCACCCGTCTTTCAGGCCGCCCCCCGCCATCGATCCTGACCCACTGCCCCATCGTGCGGTGCATGCACGTGACCACTATGGCTTTACGACGGGTGAGCAGGACATCAAAATGGCTGAGATGGCACAGGTGTGGTACGCTCTCTCTCTTCAGCCCGGCGAGCCTCGCCTGGTGCCGGACCATCAGCGAACGACATGCAGGGAACAGACCGGACGCATGGAACGGACGCCGTGCCGTCTCCAGGCGGTGACTGCCGGCGTATGACGCGGTCACGGCCTTTGCGCAATGGACAGAAAGTGACTAAAGCACCGCGCACGCCGCGGTCTGTTCGCAGTCTGCCCGCGCGTGTTCAACCTCACTTAGCGATGTGAAAACAATCCCAAGCGGGTGTCACTTCCCACCATTGTCTCTGCCGCCGCCGCCGCGGAGAGGCAGCGACGGCGCGCGCGTGCGGCGGCGGCGGCGCAGGATGCCGCCCGGTTTCGCCGACCGACCTGGCCGACCCGGCGGCGAAACTGTCCGTCCACCGCCCGGCGGCGGCGGCGGCCAGCGATGCTAACAGACGAGACGGCGCGTCGCATCGCCGGCGATTAATCCGCGCCGACGGATCGGCCGGAGCGAGCCGTCCCGTGGCCACCGCCGCCGTCAGCGCCGCCGCCAGCAGGCGGCACGGGCGGCCGCCGGGCGGTGCGGCGAGAAAGCGACGGGGCGGCACCGGAAAGGTCGGCGCCGTTGCTCCGGCCGCCAAGGCTCGCGGAAGCGGTGTTGTCTGCGCTGACGTCGGAAACTCCGCGCCCGGACCGCGGTAAGAGGCCAGGACTCGCCTCATGCCGGCAATGTCCTGCTCGCCCGGCGCTGTTCGGTTTGGGAAATAATCCGCTTTACCCCCGCTGCTGCGATGACAGATAGCCGAGCGACACACGGCTTTCTGCCGTGACCGAGGTCCCGAGCCGTGCACCCCGCCCGCCTGCATCAAGGCTTTACAAAATTAAGATTGCATCCAATCTCGCTCGCAAACGAACGCCACGCAGGGCGGGGCCTCCGACGAGCGAACCCACCTCCGAATCCCCGTCCCCTTATTCGGCCGGCCCCGCCAGGCCAACTCTCCACCTGCCCGCCGCCTCCACAACAGCGCTTCATCAAGACGGCCACACCAACGCCAGACACTCCACTGCCCTGACCCGCAGCGGGGCGCCCTCCACGTCTGTCACCAGCCTGCCGCGCCGCCGCGCCGACAAACAGACCTGTCCATCAGCGCCCCTGCCGCCGTCCGGCCCCACAAACCGTCCCGGTCACCCACCTGGCACGCAGGGCTGCGGCGCCGAGCCCTCGTGGCCGGCCTGGCCCTGCGTCAGCAGAATCTGCGAGTCCAGCTCGTGCAGCTCCGCCTGCAGCTCCTGCAGCTTGTTGTTGGCCTTCTTGACGATGCTGGAGACGTTCTGCAGGCTCTTCTTGTCGCTGGTGGCCGTGCGCAGCTTCTCGGCGCCCTCCTTAATCTTGAGCTCCTTACGGATCTCGCGCTTGATGTACTCGCGCAGCTCCTCCAGCTTCTGCGGCAGCGCCGCGTCAGAGATGTCCGGCGCGAAGCCATACTTGAGGCCCAGCTCGTGGAACGCTGACTGGGTGGCGCAGTCGCCCTGCAACAGGTCAGGGCTGCGGGTCACGAGCCGGTCCGACCGAGCGAGACGGCCGCCGACCGGCGCACAGGGTCGCGGGAGATACGAGCGTTCGGTCTGAGGAGGTGGCCGTTCGGCACGTCGGGCGGCAACAGCTACACCGGAGTGAGCTGAGGGCTCTACGGCGGCTTGTCGGGGAGGGACAGCGCGCCAGAACAAGGACAACAAGAGGGGGAAGTCGGTCAACCTGACGACAGTTGCGCTGATATGCGGGCGGATGGGATTGGAGTAGGTTCACCATATTTTATCAGCACCACTGTTAGATAATTATCATTTCAATTTTGGGTGCACTGACCGCACTGATCATACAATGACCTATCATCATACCTATATATCACTGATAAAACGTCTTAAGCGACGCGCCTGTAATTAAACATTTCCTTGTTGGATGAAGTTACAGCCCTCCCAGCTAATTCGAGGATCCTGAGCACCAAAAACGGAGCCCCAATCGTGTCTAGCCGTTAGTCAGCAGGTGTCGTCTGCTAGTGAAGATTCCTCGCTAGCAGACGAAAACGGCAGCGATCCCTACACCTCTATAAGCTCCCACTCTCACTGAGGGTTCGCAGGTCATCCCAGGCCGACCCAACCCCCTCCCCAGCCGGCGCCAGGTCAAGAGCCCGTCACCCGCGGTCGGCGCCGGGCGCCCGGCGTTCGTAGGTCAGCCATGACGGGCGCCCGCGCCGCTCGTGGCGCAGCGCGAGCGTCGCGTGCGCCGCCGCCCGCCGACGGCGCGGGCAAACAGGACGAGCTGTGCGCCGCGTCATGTCATCACTGGGCACGCCGGCTGGGGTCACACGAACGGCCGCGTCAGGGTCACGTCAGAGGCACAACACGGGGGGCGGGGCGACAACACGGCGGCGGAGCGCCGTCAGATGACTATGCCAGCAGCACGCAACGGGGCACCGCGGCTTCCGAGCCGGCCTACGCGGACGCCGGCTCCGGCACTGCCCAGCGCAGCATCAGCGGCCGCCGGGACCCGTCCGGCGGTGGGCGTGTCCGCCCCGGCTCATCGAGCCGGCGCCGGTGCGGCCGCGCCGCTCCCGACCACGCCGCCGTGCGTGCGCGCTGGCCGACCCTGCCGGCGCTACGGCGTGGGCGGGCGGGCCGGCCGACCCGGCCCGGCGCAGCGCTGCAGGCCGCCGCGAGATCTCATCGCCGGAATGGCCATCTGATCGTCATTCCGATCATCGACGGAATGGCGACCGGCGCGCTGAATGATATCGCGGCGTCGGGCGACGCGTTCGGCGGGCCACGCAGCCGCCCGACATCGCGCCCGATCGCCCCACATCCGCCGGCGCGAGCGGCCGACCACCATCCGGCAGCCGTATCGTCTCTGACGCTGGCGCCGAGCACCGCCCGGCAGCGGGCGCCGGCTCCGGCGCGCGGGCAGCCTCGCCGCCGGCACGGTTCAGAGGCCGGCCAGACGGACGGCGGCGACACATGCAAGGCGGCGGCAGGCGGAGCCGGCGGCCGCCGACGCTCCGGCACGCCGCACTGCCGGCCGCGCCGGACAGGTGGAGAGAATGTCGACGGTAGAAACTGCGAGTAATTTGCTGCCGCGTGTGGGAACAGTGTAAGCGGCGGGAAGTAGTTTGACGTCGCGGCACAATGTGAAAGTCTGAAACACTCAGGAGATCTCATAATGAGCTGGTGAGGAGTGCACGCTTCAGGTTCTACCCTACCATCACGCACTCAGGAACCAGACACATCCGCCTCGCCTGCTCGGCACCCCTCCTCTCGCCGAATCACGTAAGCCTTCACCACACCTGGCCCGCACCTCCTCCAGCTGAGCGCAGCACGCGTCGGCCGCACCTCCCGCGTCCGCGAGAGCATCTCCGGGACGGAGCGGCCGCGCCTGTGCCCGCGCCGCTCGTGGCCGCCGCCGAGGGCCCCGGCCGCCGCGCCATCCGCCGAGCGGCCGCCTCGGCGGCGGGAGACGCGGCACCGCGATGCGCCGCGACACTCGCCCCCGCCGCGTCCCAGCAGCGCAGCCGAGCAAGAGCTCGCTGTGGGGCCGCCGCCACGGGCCCGACCGCCAGGTGCGAAAAACACTGAAGACGCCAAACGCCGCTCATTGGCTACGTGATTCGCTCATTAAGCTGTCGGGGTGAGGCAGACGACGTCGCCTGTTTTTGATGGATGCTCCTTCATGCGATATTGATCAAGGCTCTTCATTCCGGCATGCAACGTACTGCAAACAACCCGTTAAGGACTCATCTGTTCACCTCCCATGCCGCGTTCTCCGCGGTGTTCTGCGCTGGGCCGTAGGGGCGCGCCAGCATCGGGGCCATTTCGAACACGTGTTCCGCACAGTGCTCCGTAATGTTCCGCACTGTTCTGCGCGGTCGTCGCTGCGTGCCGTGCTCCACACAGTGCTCTGTCATGTCCCGTACGGCGTCCGCACGCCGTCGGCCGCGCGACCTGCCCGGCCGGAGCGCGTCTGACCGGAGCCGGTCAGCGGGTCCGGCCGGCCGACCTCGGTCGGTCCCTGACCCGCGGTCTGCAGGGCGGGGCGGGCCGCCGCCGCCGGCAGCCGGAGCTGCAGCGGCGCCGTCTCCGCCCCCGCAGCCGGCCGTGCAGCTCCGGCACCGGCCGGCGCGGCCGGCACAAGAGGCCGCGCTGCAGGACGGCACGCGCCGTGCGGGCGGACAGTGGCAGTGCCGAGCCGCGTCCGTCACAGGCGTCACAAACCGGACCCATCCTGGGCGCGCGCGTGCTTGCCGCGCCGACCGCGCCAGCATCCAGCCCAGCGCGACGCCGCGCCGCGAGCGACGGCGAACGTCAGCGACGATGACGACCGTTCCCGACCGGCGGAGACGGCCGCAGCCAGGCCGACCGACGGGCGGCGTTTTTGTCCGACCCGTCGCAGCCAAGGCCAGTCAATGCGGCCCGCCGGCGCGCGGCACCGGCCGCCCGTGGAGCCGCCAGTTTTTGGACTGGCGCCAATTTTGGGGTCAGGAGGCGGCGTGACGCTCAACGCGGTCGTTGCGCGATGGTGCCGACGGCGCGGCGGTGTCAACGCCGGGGAACGGGTCGTGATTTACGCCCGAGTTGTGGTCGGGCGCTGGGATTGCACACACTGGGGCGGCCGGCACGACAGGGAGCGAAAAAACGATGGATGTCCGCGCGTTTGCGTCACTGTTGAACACTTGATTTGGTCGCTGGGGTGCCGCGAAAATGCACTGAGCCGTTCGCGATGGTCGCTTGAGTACCGATTTCTCGGTGCCCAAGTCACAAGTCCCACTTCCCTGGGAGTTATCCGCAGACATACACGGAGCAAAATACCTGGCGTGAGCATAACAAATGTCTATTGATCACCGGTAAACAACAACCTTGGCATATGAACAAGCAGGACGACGTCCATTGGCGCCGCGCGAACCTCACGAACACTCAGCTCATGGAGCCTTCGCGGAGACCATTAGCCGATGGCGAGCAACACGGCTGCGGGCAGCTCTGTCGACCTGACCGGGCGAGCGGTCACGCGGACGGCGTGGACCACCGCGCCGTTATGTCCGCGGCAGGAAGGTCTCTGTCGGCTGATCGGAGCCGACCAAAAACACGGGCGCGCTGGCCTGCGCGCGCCGCCGCAGTCACCGCGTGCCCTCTAACAAACGACGGCGTCGCGTGCCTGCGATCCGCGCGCCGATCGAGCCCAGTCCAAACAGATGGCGCGCCCGCGCAAAAACAGGAAGCCGACCCGATGAGTCGCGTGGCGCGCGGCGGCCGACAAAAAGGCCGGCGACGGGCCGGCGGTGCACAGGTCACGCCCGCGGCGAGGTGACACCGGCGTGACACCGTGACACCGATACAAAGCACGACAACCGACACGCCGCTCGCACGCGTGCGCGGCCCCACAGGCAAATCGACTATGCCATCGCCCGAGTGAATTCATGGCAGGTGCCGGCGCCGGCGAGCGATGCCACTCCACCGTGCGCCCGTCGGTCGGAGCGCTGGTGTCGCAAGGATGCGCGCTTCACGTTGTTTGGTAATCACGGCGGCTCATTACGCGCGCTCATCCGGCGCGACCTCGGCCAGGCTGAGCCCCCCCCCCCCCCCCACGCGTCCTCGCTCCGATACCGAGCGGCAGCGCGCCCACGCCGAACCGCCGATCCAGCCGGCACGAAAACAAGTCGGGCACGGCGCGCCGAGCCGAGCCGCCGGAGAAGCACACGGCGCTGGCGGTTTGGCGCCGTTCCCAGCTTACTAAAGCCTCCTACACCCGGCGCCGTTCGAAGTATACTAAAGTCTCCTACACCCGGCGCCGTTCCAAGTCTACTTACGTCTCCCACACCCACCGCCGTTCGAAGTCCACTTAAGCGTACTACACCCGACGCCGGTCTTCGTTTCACGTGCCCTCGTTACTCTGCACAGACACCCGATGTTCGGGTTTGATCATCGGCCATCTGAGGCGTGCGTTTAGTTGTGCCCCGGCTTGGTCGTTGCGCGCGGCACACGCCATAACGCAGTGCGAACAATGCCCGCTCAGCGGCATGGCCACGTGCGAAACTCGGCATTCATGAAGCTACGTCCAACGAACAAAACTTGATTAGTACTGTCTTATGCTGCGCCATATTCAAATCTTCGAACTCACGACTTATTCATGAATGGCTGGCGTGATGAGCCGGAGGCTCGCCCACGAGCCGCAAGTAGCTGCGCACGCAAACCTGAGTGCACACACTCGCAGATTCCCTCCACGCCACACGGCCGTTCCCCACGTGCCGTCTGCTGCGCTCCCCCGAGAGCTTTCCGCGCCGTCTGACGTCCTCGGGGTCACCACATCACCACGGGGACCTGCGCAGCCTCCCCACCAAACACGCGTCCGGCGGAGGCGGCGCCGGCCCATTACGAGACCTTTCTAACGACGGGCGAGCGCCTGGCCGGCGGTGGGAGGACTCATCCCCGGCCCTTCCCCGCCCACCGGCGGCGCCGTGGGCGGCAGCGGAGGCGGCGCCGGCGGCGGC